AATAATTTAATCTTGTAAAGTATGTTTAAGCGGCTTACGCGTTCATTGCGTCACTTGAATTCTATACTAAAGTGTGTTTTTTTACAATCTCATTGGATCCATATATTATAACTAAAAATTACCTAATTTTTTTCATAATATAGGTATCTTGGGTCGTATTTGCCGTAATTCTGTTGAAATTTAAAATTTCATTAAAGGCGTAGTGATAGCCGACATACTCGTAAAAAGGGAGCAGAGGGAGGGTTTTCCGGTTGATAATACAACAAACTTTGTTATATCAGTATATACAAATATCTAAATATTGAACATATAGATATAATTTTGTTTACAATAATATTATACTACGCGTTAGGTTAGTAGCCTGGGCGACCGTCCAATCGGGATTACAATATTTAATATTTATGCAAGTCATCATGATCAAAGTTCAAACATCAACAAAACAAATGAATTTGAAGATTATATTCCTTCAGTATATGCGAAACAAAATAATTTAAAATATTGTACGTTTCCCGTGGAGGACCTTGAGAGGGATCACTCCGGCACCTGCTCGAAGCGACCTTCACCGGAGTCTGGTTCAATAAGCTCGCCCTACGTTTGTATGGCAACGTAAATATCCTTCAAGGACACTCCTTTTAACTTTTTGTAGATAAAATTATGTTTTATCATAAACCTATGTTTTAGTATCGCAGCTGTCGATCAAAAGCGATCGACGGTTTATAAGTACATACATAATATGCACATTGTACATACGTGTAACTTATTTTATTATTATAGGCTGTTGCTGTTGGTCGGATAATCGAATGAATAAAAAATAATTATTCGTCCGACTAAATTGTCGGTTTGTACGAATATCTACCACTTTTTTTGTTTTCTAATGTAAAATATGTGATTTTTAGGAGCAGGAGTTTCGATATGCAAAAAAAATAACCATAACCTACCGAGCTTCTTTAATATCCCAACGATCTTTACGTTCAAGAGTTTTGTGTAAAGAAAAGAAATTTGTGTATGTGTATTTTTTTTTAATTTTGTACAGGACAATTTTTGTTGGGCAGCTGGTTTTTAATAACTACATTATGTAAAATGAATAACATTTATTAAATACAGAATACAGACAGACAGACAAAAATTCTAAAAACTATAGATTCGGCCTCTGTATCGATAATAATGTTTATTTCAATAAGATTTTCCAAAAAATATTTAATGTACAGATTCGGCTTAGTTATAATTTTATTATATGTATACTCGTAGATCTATTAAACGTTATTAACCGTTTTTAAAATATACTTAATTTAATTACAGCTGTGTCAAACATTACATAAGATTTATCGTATTTGTTATGCAAACGTCCGCTCGTTCCGTCACAACTCACAATGCATAGCCGGTAGTATTTATTTCCCGTATTGCAATTCACGTATCTACTGTCCGTGCTAATATTATTAGATCGTCGTAATTTCACACTTTAATGAATCGTGTGTTATTATTTGAACGGTGAAAGTAGTTTATACATCTGCTATTAAGTTATGGGCAATCAAAACTAACGTACATTATAATTGTTGCTCTTTTATACGTATGCCTATATTATCCTATACATATAATAAAATTGTAACTAAGCCGAATCTGTACATTAAATATTTTTTGGAAAATCTTATTGAAATAAACATTATTATCGATACAGAGGCCGAATCTTTAGTTTTTAGAATTTTTGTCTGTCTGTCTGTCTGTTACCGCATCACAGAAAAACCACTGGAGGGATTTTGATGAAATTTGGTATGGGGATATAGCCGGGTCAACGAGTAGGACACTTTTTACCGAAATGTCTCATTTTTGAGAAAAAACACAAAAATTGCAATGTAAGAGTATACTAATATTTAGAACCTAAGAATTTGGTTATCTGAACGCGGGCGGAGCCGCTGGCTATGCTAGTATTTTATAAACAAGTAAATAAAATGTGGAATCGCCTAATCTAAAGTTACCATTATCTTACGAGTATATGAGTTGTGAAGGTTAAAAGATTACCTAGGCATGATAAAATATGGTAGAAACAATTTTTTGTTATACCGTGAAATTTGTATTATTTTATTAGTATAAAATTAATTATATTAATGCAATAATAATAAAGAGATTATATTATTACAATAATAGATATATTATTATAAGACAAATATTATATTATAAGATAAATAGCTTATTAATAATGAAAATTTTATGTACAAGATTTGTACAAGCTATAAATTATATACCATCGGAAAATTTTATAAAACTGAAAACAATGAATGATTTCTACTTGCCTACTTGTCTTTCACGTTGTTTTGTTTTCAATATTTATTTTTTATTCAACAACAATAACCTTTAAAGTTTTTAGATTTCTTTTACTATGTTTCAATTTTTAGATTTCATAGTTATTATATTTGATTCGTTATGCAGAAGTAACTGACATTGAAAGAATTTTAATTTATATTATTTTAGTATACCTACTACACTATTTATATATGTATATTCGTAAACTCTATAGGATTGCAGTTTCTCTCAGGTATATATTTCATCCACGTGTTGCAAAAAATTTTAACTGTGCTGTAGAAGTGTTTACGTGCTTTGTCGTTTATACAACAAAATTGTCCTAATAAAACATATTTATATGTAAATTTTTTTTCGTTATTTTTCTATATCTCAGGATAAAAAATGGCCTATATGTACGCAAAATGTACGCTGTCCTTGTGTCACTTTTATTAAGATCAGATCAACAGTTTCAAGATCTGACGCTATTTAAAATAAACTTACGAATCAACTATTTTAATGTTAACTTTACGACCACATCTACGAGTACGTACGTAGTTTAAAATTTTCTAATGATGGTATTATTCAATCAACGCAAATAATGTGTCATAATAAACTTCACACTTTATTATTACGTTACAACTCTCTTGTATGTTTAGGAAAAAGCGATTATGGCAAAAATTTATAAAGATAATACATATATAGATACTGTATGTATAATACAAAATAATGATTATGTAGTAAAAACTCAACTCTGAACTGGTGTAGATTCTAAACAGAACAAGCTTACAAAGTTACAAATTATATTTTTATTTCTTTTATATTAGTAAGTACATAGTAAAAACATATTATAGGTAGAATTGGTAATATTGATTTGTAAAAAATGTAATAAGTCCCCAATTTAAACTTTAACGGTAATAAATTTATCGTAAAAACGAGGATTTCGAAGAGGAAAGTTTTTTCGAACGAAAAACTTTGGCTCTCTTGGTAAGAGAATTTTAAAAGTAAATAAATAGTATTTCCATTTGTTTAAAGTGGAGGAAATGGGGTCATGGCACGCCATAACGAACCAGGAGCGAGTGGTTAAATAGTAGTAGAGTTGCAATATGAGTTCAGTTACCTTATTTCCAGTACCGCACGAGTTTATTTATGAAGGAAATGGGAAAAGCAAAAATAAATTTTAATTGCAAAGAGATATTCGAAACACGAAACAACATGGCTTAACAGGACATAGGTCAACAGCGCAATAAAATTCAGAAACATCAATTTTTCATTCATTATAATTAAATATTGATGACTGATATGATGCGAGCAACTGTGTAGCATCAAATAGGTTTTCACTGTTATATTTAATTATCAATTCGTGGAAAAACTTTATCCGCGACTTTGTTCATAATATAGATACGTAATAAAAGTGTGCAAATGTGTATACGTACTACCTAGAATATAATTTTCAAAATCAAGATATATCTGTACAGATATTTTTATATTAACAGCAATTTTAAAAAGATTATTTACTTGCAAGGAAAATATTCTGTTACTCCATTAATTTAGTAATTATTAGCGGCTCACCCTCGCTTCGCTCGGGTTCGTCGCTAGATACTTTTTAAATAGATATAAATAGTTATTAGCCAGCGTTAGCCATATAATTTTTTTTTTCGTTATTTTTTTATTTTTTCTCTTAATTAAAACCTTCCGTGGACCTTAAGGAAAATACGAAAAAAAATTTAAAAATTTGCCGAATTGGTCCAACCATTCTTGAGTTAAGCGCTTACCAACATTCATTTTTGTTTATATAGTAGATAGATTATACGTACATGTACTATGCACTATTTTAAATAATAAAATTATACAGATGCATTATAAAAAGTGGGCTTATATCTAAAAGTGTAATTTTAATATAATACTAAATAATAAATTTTTAGCCGAATTAAACTACAGAATATGTAGGAGATTTTTTTCATTTTCTCTTGTACGATAAACAATGTTTATAACTCCTCATTTTCTGAATCTAAAAATATTTTAAAGTATATAAATTCAGATACATTCGTATATATCTAAAATCTATAATATTATGCTGGCGAAACGGTTCCTAATGTAGATGATATCATCGCTGATTCACAAGGTGTTTTTTTTAACGTAATCATTTGTATTATGCTTAAGTTGATCAGAGGTTACACAAAAACGTACTTAATTACAAAATATTAACTTTGTGTGTATACAAAATATTAACTTGTTTGTATCTAGCCAGTTTTTATATGTTTAATTAAAGTTTTATCTCAATTTGACATTCGGTTATCATTATCACGGTAATGTTACATACGAGTATATGCATTACATTACCGTGTCATTATTGTCATTTTTGTTTCTGAATTTGTAACTGCCTAAAATGTTTATATTTTTCGAGAAAATTCTTATGAAGTCATTTTAGAATTGTTAATTATTTATAATCACGACGAGTATCTTTATTTACATCAAACACAATATTTGTACTTCATACCTTTTTATACAGCATTGACGTCATTGATTAAGTTAATTGTAATAAAATATAATTGACTTAGGACTTTCTACATATTATGCATATGTAAGGCGAAATACTCTTGAGTAAATGTTTGTTTTAGATAGTGCAGTTATATAATATAGTAATGATTTTTATTCTTATACCATATGCAACTATTTCTCAATATTATGCATAATGTTAACATTAAATAATATCTTGTCAACAGCCCTGGCAGTGGGTACACTAGGCGAGTGTGGTAGCGTGGGAATCAGTCCCACGCTGTCCGAAACAAGACTGGGAGCCGTGGAGATGGTGCAAGAGGGAGAGGGCTTGGGCGACGCACTGATCGCTCCGCGTCGCCTGCCCAATCCCTGCCTAGAGAACCCTCTGCGAATGGATTTGCATAGAGAACTAATGTTCAATCAGAAAATGTAAGTATCATTTTGTGTCTTTCTGCTTGATTCCAATTATTATGAATTTATTAGCGACTTGCCTTTGCTTCGCTCTAGTGCGTCTATAGGTGCCTAATACAGAGTAGCCTATGTGTAACTCCATGTTTGTTAAATTCTACAAACTTTCGCATTTACAATAGTAGTCCGATATAATTTTTATTAATATAATTTATATACATAGTTCGTGTAAAGTTGCTAGTTTTTTATTAAAAGTATTGAGGTGTTTATGTAATGTTAAAAGCCAAAATTATACAATATACCTATGTACATTCTCTCCGTACTTCACCATAATCTATATTTCAACAGATATCGTTCTGGAGGTTAGTTATATAGCTTAGGCAACTTACATCATACAAAAATGATGAACAAACTAAATGATGGTATCTAGTGTAATTATATTGTCTATAAAATTATAAATCTTTTGATATAATGAATTATTTATACTTACTTATTATTAGATATAAGGCATAATATCTAATAATTACGATGTTAACACACCTGTTGTTGACACTGTAACTTTCTTTTAATCATGTTTTAAATTATATATATTTATAGTTTATTTTTTCCTGTGAATCAATTTTAATCATTTCATGCACAAATCAACGTTTAAAAAGCCATTACTATTACTTTTGATTCGCTTTTTAAAGAAAAACTTAAAAGTAAAGATTAATAATACATTTCTTAATAAAAAGTTAGTAACGGTATTATATTGTTGCTCATTGTACAGTTTTTTATTCATATGTATATACCTCAATAAGTATAAATAAAATTGAAGTGTGCGTGTGAATCCCTCTGCAATTTCAAGGTAGGTGCATTTGTCTCTAAAGGAGATCTCTATGATTACATACACAATAATAAAAAAATCTATCAACAGTTACAAAATTTTCAAAGTCTTCAAACTGCTGAATTGATTTTACTCCAATTTTTTCGTAGCGAATAGAATATTCAAGCAAGCAAGACATAAGTTATTTTAATGCCAGGAAACCAGAAGGGTTCCTGTTGGATAAAACCTAGTAACAAAACAACATAATCGTTTTTAGTGATACTTAAACTGGGTGGCTCGAGCCAGGATTCATATATATGAATTCTATCTTTATCCCAGAAAAAGGGAAAGTAATGGTGTAGCAATTTAATGTATTTTTACGGGATTTACGGGTCAAAGTTATTGCAGAAGTAGGCGGTCCCTCAAATAAAACGCGATAAATAATAACGAATGAAAAACAAACAGTATGAAATGAAGATCAGCTTAATGTACAAACAGATTTGACAATAATTAAACATTTATAACACCACTGGAATATACATAAAGTTTAATATATAAGAGGCCTAGCCATTTGTCGGCTCGGGATGTTAAGTGTACCTACCTTTAGTCTGACGCTGGCGTCTTTGTCCATTGTAAAGCCCTTGTGAAAGCACTTTGTGTCTCTTCAAAAGGTTCTTCAGAGATCGCAAGGTGACACGGGCGTGTTATATCTTTTCTAAGAAAAAGAAACATTAGTTCCCTAAATATGACTGGTACCTGCAATTTGAGAAATAATCATAAATCAGGTAAAATATGGATATGGATGATAAGATTATAATTCAAAGTTATATAATTTATTTCTGTTATATTTTTTAGTATCATAACTGAGATAATATAAGATAAATAGGTAAGTATGAAAGAAAATCATATTTCCAAATAAGCGAATTGATATTTAATTTAAATAAAATTAAAAAAATATACAACACTAACATTTTATAATTAAAACTAGCGACTCACCCTTGCTTCGCTCGGTTTCGTCCCTACTTGCATTTTAACGTTTTGTATAGATTTCTCAAAGATGAAATATTTAACCGCAGTAAAAAGTATCCTAGATGTTATTATATTATGTTATATATTATGGTGATAGCTATCACCATACTAAATTTCATCAAAAATCAAATCGGTCCAGTAGTTTCCTCGTGATGCGGTAACAGACAGACAGACAAAAAATCTAAAAACTATAGATTCGGCTTCTGTATCGATAATAGTGTATATTTCAATAAGATTTTCCAAAAAATATTTAATGTACAGATTCAGCTTAGACTTTTATTATATGTATAGATAAGAAAACTGTCTAATAAACACTAATAGTAAATACCGAAACAAAGAGATTAAGATAGTTGTTAAGTAGCGTAATCGCTAATGAGATACGTCAACATGTGCTTGGTTTTCTGATATCTATGGAATTTTTTATTGCCAACATAGCGTCGGTATTGTGAATAACAACGTTGTAGAGTTCTTTTTCATTACTGTTTTAATCATTCAGAGCTCCATATTTTTAAAATGCTATATTTTAATCTCTAATACAACTTATTGAAGTGTACTTACCTATTCAAACTGTACTAAAATTTTAGTTTAAGTATATTAAGATATTAATTTTATTGTTATTTTTATTAAGAACTATTAACTATAATTAGTTCTATATTGATTTAAAAATTACCAAGAATTAAAGCGCTTATTATAATTTTAACTTAAACTATAACAAACTTTTACATAAACATGAGTAATATGAATATTATATTTAATTTAAATTATCTTCTAATAAAGTTACGTGAAAGACTAAATAAACAAAAAGTAAAAACGTAAGCATATGATATTCCTAATTTAAAGGATGGTATTTTTGCTACAACTTCACAAAGAGCTCTAATATCTTCTTGATGTAGCTCTATAGATTTTAGAGGTTCCTTTGTTACTTAGTGAATGTTTTTGTAAACGTTCAAAAAATCATTATTTTTTGCCACCACATTACCCGGATTCCCCGCACAGGTGCACCACATCCTGTCCTCAACCGAACTCGTATTGAACATCTGTCTGTACGCAATATTAATGATACGAGAGTTATTCATAGACAGCAAATATGGATCAAAGTAAAACAGCATATGTAATCTACATAAATGTTATTTTATGAAATACTAAAAATTCCTATTACCAGTTCGTATCTAATCGTCTTGACATTTTTTCTTCAATCTACTTGTACTATAAAGTATAATAAGAAGGCTAAAGAGCTAAAGGTTTTCAGTTTAAGTGTAAATTTTGAAACTACTCGTGTGATTCTAAAAATTCTTTTACTTATGGTAAGCTATCACCTCCAGGTAAATTTCTAAGAAATTAAATTTCTAAGAAATCTATTGTTAACTGTAACGTCGGCGTGTCCGTGGTCGTGAAGGGATTGTTGAGTGACATATGCTAATTTCGTTCGTTTCTTGTTATACAAGTGAATCCTGTAGGATATTACTGAAGCTCGTGAGGGGTGTATATTATGATTATATTATAGGTAATCATATATGCGTAGTATAATAGATAATATATACATATACCAAACGGTATTCAGAGTCCAAGCTACATATTATACAAGTTTAATTATAATTATTACAAGACTAATTCCAATGTAATCGGGGCCAATTTAATTTTATTCAGATGATTGAGATTAGATAGGCTGGGCCAAAGCAGCCGTTTAGACGGAATGCGTTGCCGGTATGCACAAACAGGTACAAAAAATACAAAAATTGCTTTTATGATGACGTAATTGAATTTAGCATACTACAAAAAGGTATGTTTTAAATTTTCATTGCTCTATCGGTTCTCGAGTGATATTTTATAAGTGTTTATTCTATATTTTATTTAGACAAGCCGAATGTGGGTTATATCGAAACCAATTTCAGCAGAATGATGAGTTTGATTACATGGCTAATCCGTAGTTCGGTCGAAATACGGTTTAACTGTGTTGCGAGTTGCGATGCAGCTTGTTTACGAAATGCTCTCGATTTTTCTTGCGCTTGCGATTTCGTTAGAATTATGACGTCAAAATAGAATTAAGATTATCCAATACTAACCACCATCTATCATTATTACTATTTAGTATTTAGATACATGTGATACTTAAAGGTTGATAAATATTATTATCGATAAGTAGAAAGAGTGATCGGGTCCATTTTTTTTAAGATACGTAATATTATTCTTCTATTACTTGTGTCTAATATGAATAAAATAACAGTATTGTGATATTAGAGGTTTTTAAATCATGACATTTTTCCTGTAGTATATTTTTACGGTTTGTTTCTATCACATTGCAAAGTAAAATAAAGTTATACCAGTTCTAGTTTGAATTCGTCACAAATTATGTAATCGGTTTTATTAAAAAAAAATTGAACCGAATTTAGGTTTCAACTAAACTAAAACTGTCGAATTTCGATCAAACCGACTGTTTACGGAATTGCTACCCATACTTTAACTTTAATGTAAACGATGTTCTAATTTTTATTCATAGATGTGTGACTGTAAAAAGTGTATGTACCTACCTATGTGAGTGTTAGTCACAGCATATCTCACTTCCTAACACATTGTTATCTAGTTCCAGTATTGATATTATTGAAGTAAACGTAAAGACAAATATATAATCTTTATCGCATTGAACCTGTTGATTTAGTCAATTTCCCAGTCATTCGTGATTGTCGGAACCTTCTCGTCAGTTATTTCCGCGTCGCCCGCCAGCCCGGCGGAAGGAAGCAATTCTAGATGCCAACTGGAGCGCTATTCCATATTCCCTGCAAGTATCTGTATGCAAAGTATTCAATAATTTGTCCTAAATCCGAAACGAAATTTACTTATCTTTGTTGGTACATTTTTAATAACACTTAGATACTTTTTTGCATATTTATTAGATACTAGCGACTCTACAGGTTCGTCCCTACTTACGTATTAGTATTAACGTGTAGTATAAAAGGTATCCTATATGTTAACCCGGACAACCAGGAAATCATACCAAATTTCATCAAAATCCCTCCAGTGGTTTTTTGTGATGTGGTAACAGAGAGACAGACAAAATTTCTAAAAACTATAGATTCGGCCTCTGTATCGATAATAATGATTATTTCAATAAGATTTTCCAAAAGTATTTAATGTACAGATTCGGCTTGGTTACTATTATTATATGTAGGTGTGTATTAGATTAGTTACTTACCCTGACTTCGCGTAGGTACATGTCAATGCTTTATTTCAAACCGTTTAGTTAGTGCATGTCCACAAAGCAACTTAACGGCCTGTTTTTTTTAATTCAATTAAAGTTATTATTATGATTTCTGACAGTAAACACATTCTTACCGGAATAAAAAATAGCCCATAGAATGGCATATCGGTGGTAATGTAGTTCATATTAGTAAAAGAATTTTCTCAATCGAATCAGTAGATTTCGCCCTACATCCAAAGTGTAAAACTTACAAACTACCTCTTTATAATATTAATGTAGGTAAATAAATATTACGAAAGTATTTATACCTGAAATGATTAGATCACAAAAATATCACAAAAAACTTTATAATAAATATATGTACATATGTATATCCTGCAATAAAGGAACATTCTAGTACATTGTAGATATATTTTAAGGTATGAAAACAACCAGACCGTTTTTGCGTTAAAGATAGGCTTACATATCAGGCGTCTAACTCGTAAAGCGCCGTAAAATTGGGTAAGCGAATGACATTTCCTTATTTCAAAAGCATGCAAGGCAAGTTAGCATGAGTGCCAGACATATTTACGATAGCAGTGCCAGTTTTGTGCTTCGGTGCATACGTTGATCGTCTTCTAGATTTAGTTTGCGATATGATTCAGATCACCTAAATTGAATTCTCAAATAGAAATAACTTTTAGACTCTCGGCTTAACGTAGACTGTGATGGTCGGTAAAGCCGGCAGCAATTAGCTGAAATTGAATGTTGATGAAGCTGGTAATGGTGTAGAAATTTCTTTTCAGCAATCGCCAAGCTAAGTTTAATATTTATAAATATAAACCTTGTAAATATTTTAAAATTTTCTGTAATAGTATTAATGAAGCAAAACCCAGTCTATAATTTCATAAGCTCAATTAGGTCGAGAGTGGTATACAAACCAAACGGGATGCTGATATGGAAATGCGAACGTGCTACAAAAATAAACATATGTTATTTGCTATTTGGCATTGACGCTTTTAGTAATCCTTTGGGAGGTATTGAATCATGGCAAGATTTAAAAGGCAACTTTGTTACAGGAATTCTTTAAATTGAGATTATTTTTATGTGGATTACATACATACATACATACATACATACATACATAGGACATACATACATACATATACAAATATTACAGTTGTATGTTTTACAGTATTATATTACATACTGTTTTACACTTTATAAGTTCATGTTAAACGATTAAACATAGTAAGATTAAACGTAATCTTTATCTTATCAATACTTATAAGTAGGTAAAGGAAGTATATGTGTGATTTCACAATAATCACTTTAAATTTATATAGAAATTGTTACTAAGCTAAGACTAAGACATCACAGGAAATTTTAATTAAATGTAAGTTAGCACAATTATTATTTAACAGTCTTGAACAAAAATTAGATTTTTTTTATTACAAGTTCCAACAAAACTACACTCTTGCGAAGTCGAAGGGTAAACACTAAACATTATTAACATTATGATAATTTTGTATACTGAAAATATTGTTACAAAAATTATAAATATCGGTCCTATTATATATTAATTACAATATAAATACTTAAGTAGTATTTAAATTTCGTATTTTTATAAAAATGTTTTGTCGTCATAATAGGTAGTGGTTTTTAAGAAAAACTATAAGCGATAATAAATAATAATCCTACTATCACAATAATTTGATTAAATATGATTTTACTCGGTCTTGTGAAAAGAACTTAAATGAAGGGTTTTTAAAAATGAGAATTAAATTAACAAAAAATATTAACACAGGCGAGGGTGCAAGCAGTCGCTGATAAATAATATAATAATAACAGCATCAAGACATATTCAAATATTATATAAAGTAAAAATATCGCCATTTACAAACCGTCGTTATGTTTAATGCAACCTCAAATAAGCAAAGCGCATCTCTAGTGCTACAGCTGTGCAACAAGTTAACGCTTGACGTCATTACACTAAATAGTCCACACATGCAGGTAGAGCGCGTGGGAAAGCTATGAAGGAAGCTGCATTGGAAAAAATCTTGTAATGGTACAATATGTTTAGTCACACTCAATAGAATTACTACAAAACATTATAGTTCAAGGATTTGTTTATTATGTATTTCTCGGAATCCAAGACGGTAGCTACCTACCATGCTACTGCTACCATTTAATGAAATATCATACGCATATTTATATTTAGTTCGTACATTGTAATCTATACTAATATTATGAAGAGTTAAAGTGTGTGAGTTTGTGAATTATGAGTTTTTGACGTTGTAGAGCGGGTAATCTCTGGATCTACTGAACCGATTTAGATGAAATTTGGTAAGACGATAGTTTGAAACCGTATTAATATGATGACAGCTATGACACTTATAAAAAACTAGCATATGGATTATTATTCACAATACTAGGGTAGGAATGTCTATTTAAAAACAATATAATATTATTTGCCAAATTGTATAATATGTAAAAGAAGTGCCAAAATCACAATTCAATTTTTTTTTATAAAATCGTCTTATCATTACTAAATGAAGATTTTATATTAAATCAGTCGAGGCCTTAATTACTAATTGCGCAGTATTTAAACTTAAGTTAATAATGCCTCGTAAATAGGAAGATAAGTACTACAATATTACCAATCCAATTATGATAAAGGTTTTTTATAATATTTTAATAGTTTTTATATATGAAATTGCACAAGATATAATGATATTTTTTATTATTAAAGTAAACATTACCTTATATGGTAGCGAAAATGAGCGTGATAAGATTATACGCATCAAATGGTATGTATAGGTATTATCAGTTTGGACGGTCTCTAATCTGTATAGTGTTACAACATCGCAACACGGTTTTATTTTTTACTACGCATATTTATTGTAATTTAAAAAAAAAACAATCTTTGTTATGGACATCTTAGTATGATATATTGTTTGATTATCATTATTCAGTAGTAATGTTAAAATTAGCTACTTTATATCCTGACAAATTCATAGGTTTACTATCCCTATTAAAAAACTCCAATAGGATCCCATCAAAAGCACACAGAAACCAATAAATATTTATTGGTTTCTATGTGGCTTTTATCGCTTTTGATGGGATTCTATTGGAGTTTTTCAACAGGAATGAGACATTGGACTAAAGACTTACCAGAACTCTTGTTTTTAAATCAGTTACATTTATACTGAATCACACATCGTTGAATTGGAATGGTAATATAGGCTTGAACTAGAATGTGAAAAAGGAAATATTGACCATTTAATAGCATTTGAGACTAGTGCTGATAGATATTAGAGTGATATTAATGTTTATATCATTCTGATATCGATTAGATAAATAGATTCGAGCGTAGGATTATGAATAATTATTGTAGTAACTCACATATTTTTTATATATATACTTCTAATAAAAAATAAAAGTTATGTACGAGTATAGTCATATAAAGTGTTAATATATGTTTTTATTTAGGTTAAGCCTCTAACCACTAGCATTTATTTAAACAAATCTTTTTCTATTCCAGAGGCAAAAACGTTCTCAATCAAAAGAGCGAGCTTCAAAAAGCACTTTCAAAACATAAAGAGAAGCAGCTTATGAATCAAATAAAAGAACACAAGGAAACGCCAGGTAAATTAATTGGCAGCTTTGCCTGTAAATCTCTGAATGTAATCGTACAACTCTTTTATCTTTATTAATTCAATAAATCATGTTAATTTCTTGGACAATTTAAGCTCATACAAGTCGTTGCACGTACATATGTGAACCGTTATTATGACAAATCATCGAGTAATGTTGTAACGTAAAAATTCAGAACGTATCCGTTAACCTCTGGCATGGCGTTTCATAATGGCCATAGCTTCATAGTAAAAGTTGGCCGAACACTGGCAATTTTGCAATTATATTTCATATACATACTTTTTATAAAGGTGATTAGTCTTAAGTCGCACATGCTTACCAGTTACCTAATACCATAGCCACGCTTACTTAATACAGGGTTCGTTCTATTTGGACCTAATACAAGTTCCAAATTAAAAAGATTTTTTTTAAGTTTTCTTATTTTTTGTATAAATGCTAACTCACTGGAAGTCCACACCCTTCATAAAACAGAGTAAAGCGATTTCAATGCTGTATATCAGTCCACCAACCTGCATATAGTCAGCGTGGCTTACCTAATCTTCCTCGTATAGAGGAGGCCCATGCCCAGACGTGGGATGTTGAAAGGGTTGAATTATTATTTATCTTTTATTAAAAACGTTGCGTCACATTGTACGGGTCACACTGTAATAGCTTTTGTTCGTTTATACAGCAAACCCTTTGACAATATCAAGTCTAAGGAGACTCTTTATTATGAGAACTTATTAAGAGAGTCTAATCAATCGTTGAATTGGAAGTAAAATAGGCTTGAACTAGTATGTGAAAAAGCAAATATTGACCATTTAATAGCATTTGAGACTAGTAGCGCTTTTGTAAATTGGTGACCATAAGCACCACATGTATATATTATTTCTATATATCAAACGAAATTAAACCCACGACCTCTGGCGTGTTCTCGTAATTAACAGTGAAAATTATCCAAATGCCTCTCCTTTGCGAGGGCGCATTTTTTATAACCATTATATGAATAATTTATTTCAATATTGATAGTTGATACAGATTTGATAGGAATGTCCGAGATTTTAAGGCGCTCCAAGTTGAACATTTTCAGATATGAAGCGTTAATTATTTTTTTATTTGTGATGGCTAGGTTTCTATCTTTCTTGTATGTGTAACACATACTAATAGCATAATATGTATAATAAATGTTAGGAGTTTTATTGATTATTAACATTAATTGGTTTGCTATACACGAGGGAATATTACGAGTATAATTATCCATAAAAGTTAACAAAAGTTTTACGCCATAAATAAGTACATAGAGATCATTCAATTGTTTTTTTAGATGTCCTGCGTTCCTTGACGGTTTAATATTTCACATAACTCGTATTTCATTTTTTCCTGCATATTTGGCGGCCACTCTGTCCGGCTCAGTGCAGGTGCATCGGACGTTAACCCCCGTCAATCATTATAATTAGGGTTGTCTCTTTCTCTCTCGAGTTGGAATTCCTTAAATTATAAACTCAATAGACCTTAAAAATGTTAGTCAGCTACTTATATTATTTATATCGTTATTTATTGTCAATGTAAACTAAAATTAATAATTAAAATGCAATACGTATTTAATTAAATTATAATGTCATTATGAAATAGTTTTGTTATTAAAATTATTCTTTAAAGATTTTATTCTTATTCAAAATTGTTAACCCTAGAATATATTACTTTTGCAATCACATTCAATCCAATTGAACTCATTGAAATCTTATTATACGAGTTGCCCGTTATTTATTGCATGGAACATTATTATTAATATACGTAGTAAATGAGTTTTTAAGTATTTTAAAATGAGCTGACGTTATCTTAATCATACATGAAATACACGATATGATTTCGATTTACTTATCGATAAAAGAAAATGATAAAAAGAAAGTAATTGTAGAAAAAATAAGTTATTATCATAGATTGTTAATCTCTATAATTGGCCCTGGCCCTGGAAGTCAATGACCAAGGTTGGATGAAAGTGAATTGCTAACTTGTTTTACTCTTTCCGCTGGCGGATTGTCAGGGATATTAGCGTGGATAACTAATAAATTGCATCGAAAGCTGTACACCTGCGTTATTCATTTGGCGTGTAATTTAATTTAAATGATAGGTCTATTGTCATATTTCATGGTAAATTATTATGTACGACACCTTCATTTATTAATTTCGTTATGTATTTTGAACACTTGAAATATATATATAAGTTCGAATTTATATTACTTCTTAGTAAGTATGGTAATTATTATTCTGCTTAAGAAAGATCTGCAGTTCACATAGTATATATTTAGACTAGCACTGCCCGGGGCTCCGCCCGCGTTCAGATGACCAAAAACCAAATAAAATAGCGCTATTATTACTACTGTTATTATTATACTGTTATTTTTTTCAAGATAAGCTATTTTAAATAGTTTTTGCCTTATTTAGTATGTTACCTTGCTAAAATATATATATAGTACCATCGTGATTTTATTCTAACCAGTTTTTGTATTTTTTCTCAGAAATGAGATATTTTTCTGCGGTAAAAAGTATCCTATATGTTGACCCGGATAACCAACTATGACCATACTAAATTTCATCAAAATCCCTCCAGTAGTTTGGCTGTGATGCGGTAACAGACAGACAGACAAAAATTCTAAAAGCTATAGATTCGGACTCTGTATCGATAATAATGCCTATTTCAATAAGATTTTCCACAAAATATTTAATGTACAGATTCGGCTCCGTTACAATTTTATTATGTGTATAGATTAAAATTTTAATATTTGCAAATTACAATCTTCGTGTAGATTTTATAAACAATGGCTCGTTAAGTTGCTAATTTTTTACCAAGATTTACTTAATGTTTTTAATACGTTGATCTTTGTAATGGGGAATATACCTAAGATGTTATATTGTATCGTAATAGTCAGCGCTACATTTGATAAAGTCAAACTGACAAAAAAACTATCATCTTGTAGTTGTGATACGGAAATCGAACTAATACTTTCGTAATAAGTAGTGTAATTAGACACACAGCCGAAGCGCTCAAGTGGTAGTTTTTATTTTTTATACATATTTTTGCTATTTGAAATAATTATCTTCAAGGTTTTAAGAACAATTATTTGCAAAACAGGTTTTATAGTTTATAATTAACGACCACTTAGACAATATTTGGTATGTTTTGCAGAAATTACATAATTTTCATATTATTATTCGTTTTATAAAGCAAATATTTTTGTTGTGTTGTGCAAATGTGGTTATGTTATCAAAGATGCGATTAGCCTACGATTCGGACTTATTTATTGATGTCCTTGTATTATTAAACTTATTACAAAACAAAATTATTACAAAAACATATTAAGAAATGTAATGTTACGTAATTATGAAATATATGTAGTATTTAATTTTAAGACATACATTTAAGCACATTAAGAAATATGTATAGTAATAAAAACTTTAAAAACCGACTTCCAGGCTAAAAAATAACTAAATGGGGGTTTTCATTTAGAATAGATACCTAATGAGATATTTTCGAAGTCGGTGCCAGCTGACGCATAGGAAATCTAATATATTTCGATACGTAAAATACATATTTACCTATTAGATATTCATATCTTAAAATATTGTCGGCTGGCACCCTTTCAAACAAAACAAAAATTTACCAAATCGGTTCAGGCGTCTTCGAGTAATCGGTTAACATACATAAAAAAGAGATTCCGACGAATTGAGAACCTTATCCTTCTTGGGAGTCGGTTAAAAAGAAATATATTTCATTGTTTATTTTTATTAATTCCAGAACTAGAAAGAGCAATAGCTGAAAGAGCGCGACGTCTCGAACAAGCAGAGCATAGTACGGAGGAAATAGAAGCTGGTACAAATCCAACGTTACAGGAGGTTCGAGCTCGTTTAAGACATGCAGCACCAACGCCATCTCCCGCAGCATCCGCACACTAAGTATCATATTAGTTTCCTCTTATTTTGTCATTAGAAACCGGATTGTAGCGTATTTTAAAATTTGCCGCCCTGGGCCTATAACGTGTATGAGCGTACAATACGCTCCTTGTACCTAATAAAAAGCGAAACTAAAAAAAGATCGTTTATAAGATATTTGTAGGTGGTAATAATAGTCATTTACAATTTATTTTCTCACTTTGAAAAATTTCTGTTAATATAATCCTCAATAAAATAATCCTAATAATAAATTAAGCAAATTCGGACGGTCCATTTAATGTCCTACTAAAGGGCTAGGGGCTTTTCTACAAAGCAAACTACACTGAGCCAAAGTGATTTTATTTGGCTCTCCTTTACGGTTTTAGCATACAGTGGTAGCCCAGTGGTAACTCGCTCGCTTGGGAAACCGAGGAGTGAAGCGAGTTCAAATCCCGGGTCTCGCACCTCTGATATTTTCATGTGAGAATCATTTCCAACATGATTACCACTTGTCTTAATGGTGAAGGAAAACATTGTGAGGAAACCTGCATGTCTGAGAGAACTTGGCAAGTTTTTAAAAGACATGTGAAGTCGGCCAACCCGCACTTGGCCAGCGTGGTGGACTATGGCCTGATGCCCCTCGCACTGAAGGGAGGCCCGTGCCCAGCAGTGGGACGTTAAAAAGGGGCTGAATACATTACCGTTTTAGCAACTGGTAATCATGTTGAATATTAAATCCTCATAAAAAATCTTCATAGGTGCAAGACCCTTGGTTTGAACCCGCGTCACTATCCCCAAAGTATGCGTGCTTCCAATGATCAACACTACTGTTTTTAGATATCTGCATATGTTTGTAGTATGCTAGAGAATAAGTTTAGTCTTATATACTAGAGGATAATAAATCCGTTGTCCTATTTAGAACCAAGAATTAGTTTTTCAATAATGTTTTATATAATAACTAGCGGACCCGACAGACGTTGTCCTGTCTACACGTCTTTAATTTGAAAATTTCAAACTTTTTTTAATAATTTTTTTGATGAAAATTATTATTCAAATTGTGAATCTAAACCATTCCCAGATCCCCTTGAACACACACAAAAAATTTCATCAAAATCGGTCCAGTCGTTTGAGAGAAGTTCAGTGACATACACACTCACAGAAGAATTATATATATAAAGATGGTACTTGTAGTGTTATTTAATTTGATACATTCTGTATTTTTTTGTAATATATCCGGTTTGTAATGATAAAAATAACTATTCTAATATTTATATCAAATCCCGATAATCGCAAATCATTGTCCTAAAGCCGTTGAAAAGTAAGCATTTGCCAGCTTCATGATGTCAATCTACGAATACATGTTTTGTAAATGAAGCAATATTGAATTAAATGGCCTAATTTATAAATAATTTTGCATATGGCTACAAAACAGACAAAAATCGATAGTGCAAATTAATATTGGCTTGGTGCAGATTAAACTCGTAAAAATTCTGAAACATTTCTAATAAAAATGATTCTAGAGTAACGATTAATGGAAAATTTCGAAATCAAGTTTTATCCGAATGCCATCTATTGTCATGTCTCGTTAAAAAGTCATCATATTTTCAGAAAGTAATACAGATGTCGCTAGTAGTATTTGGCGTAATAAATAACAAAACATCTATAAATAAAATTCAACTGGATTTTCTTTTACAATGTAAACTGAAAGGGCGAGTTAGGGATAGGGGAAGCTTTGACTGCAAAGCTTATATGTAATTGTTTGATTAATTTTATTTTGTGTATAGTTAGATAGGTATTTGGTGTTTATTGTTTGTCATTGAAGCTAAGTCACTAAAAGTGTCACAAAATATATATTTTTCGTATTGATAGTTTTATTGTGTATGGTAGTTATTAGTAATTATATTTTGTCGTTTTGGTACGTTTGTTTGACTATTAATTATTATTATTATATTGTATTCATTGTAATGCCTACGTTACCGTTTATAATTTGTTTATCATAGGAATATCGCGGTTGATTGGATACGCAGTTTACTGCGTTGAGTCAAATAAATAAAGTTTTTAAAACAATTTTGTTCAATATATACAATATGATTTAGTTTTAAATTACTAAACCGTTATTGTTTATTTAATCCAACTTAACCGATGGTGATATTTCAATGATGAACAGATTGTAATGATTTTAATTCATTTATATTGATAAAATAATTTATTGAAACAAACCATTGACTGAGGAATCGACTGCGTGAGCTATAAAAATAAGGGTATCATTGTCTTCAAAAAAGAAAACATATTTTTCTAAACTTTTTAACGTCACACTAACATTTCATCATTGAAATCGTAAGTTTACTATTCTTGTTACGCACCTTTATCATTCTGTAGGTTTGTCTGTCACTAAAATAGATATCATCGTACATTTCTTAGGAACTATTTTATAACAATAATTACTTATAGCGAGTAGTTAGATGTTGATAAATTACATTATGGCTTAGTTTAGATATTAAATAAAGTTTATTATATCATATTTACTACAAAAAGTAGAGGTCTTATGAAATCTAGTGGACTTAACTTCTACATACAGAATTATTCCCATTTCTATTTTAAATGTTTATCCCGGATCTATAGTTGTCCAGTTGATAATTTATATCGAAGTGTTCATGAAAGTGATAGAAATGAAAGATATTTTTGTATTTTTATGTAAAACCTATAGAGCCTATTTGTCTTAAATACCTTATAGTAAGTAGTTCCCATCAAAAGCAATAATTTAAATACAAATGTTGCAGTCTTTAGTATAATGACTTTATATAATTTATTGACATTTATTTTAATAAATCATCAAATTTGCTTCAATATAAAATTAATTTTAATTATCTGTACAAGAAACGATATTATAGTGTGACTGCAACATCTGTATCTTTCTACCGATATCTTATGAATATGTATATTATTACAGAATCTCTAAACAATTACAATATAATTTAAAAGGACATTTATTTCTAGTCTAATAATTGTATTTGAATGAATGTCTTCAAAGTGAATTCATCAATCCTTTAAAGTTTATACCATTGCTAGATATTAATAAATCTGTCTCTTTCTATACACGGTAAAACCTTGAAGTGAGAAAGAGACAGAAAACGGATTTTTTATTAATTTAATCAAGAATACTTTGTTCTCCGTTGTGCCTATATAGATATTGTTGTTTATTTTGAAAGTAGAAATTATTTATAGGATGATGATTCTCACTGAAACTTAAAAAAATAACAACCACTCGTTATTATTTCACTCCTGAACAAATTGATTTTTCTTCATTTTAATCTTTATTTGTTATAATATTTAGATGACTTAGTACAAAAAAATGTCTTCGATATGAAGAATAGCTTCGGCTTGAAAGCTGTGTGTCGTGGCCATTTTAAGTTTGATATTGTGACTAATCTAGTGTTAAGTGATTTAATTCTTCATAAAGTTTACAAAAAATGTATCAAAGTTTGATAATTTACATAGAACAATAAAAGTGTTTTAGCACTCAGGCATTTTGTTTTTACCTTTTCTCCTCTCTATTGTAATAAGTGCTACATTACGTACATTTACAATAAAACAGAATTAAAAAATAGACCATTTTATATATATAATAAATAATGTGAAATGTTAAAGGCTTCAAACCACTTTTCAACCGACTTCAAAAAGGAGGAGGTTCTCAATTCGACTGTATGTTTTTTTTTATGTTTGTTACCTCAGAACTCCGTCATTTATTAACCGCTTTTTACAATTTTTGTTTTGTTTGAAAGGGTATTCTTCCAGATTGGTCCCATTTAAATTTCAAAAAAAAAATACCACCCCTAAGGGTGGAAAAACAACTAATGATGAATTTAACCTACTTCTAATTGTCATATTGACTTGAAACTTTGCAAGTATTTCTATTTCCGTTGATAGTTCAGTGGTTCGGTGTTGTTGACCTGATCTGATGGCAAGGCCAGAAGGTGGATAGGTGGAACTCTTCAACGGCTAATAGTAGATACTTTGAGTTTGGGCTTATTTTGTTTGATTTGACAAGCCTAACACGTTAGAGTTCTTACTTTGCTACTACTGTCTACACTAAAAAGGGAAAAATAAAAACTTTTTAACAAAAAAATAAAAACCGACTTCAAACAAAAGCACTAAAAAGTAAAAAATAACTGATTGGTAGTTTTCATTTACTATAATACCTAATCAAATATTTTCGAAGTCGGTGTGCTTTGGCTAAGTAATTAAAGCCTACCTATTAAATACATACCTAATCAAATGTTTTCGAAATCGGTGCCAGCCCATACAAAGCAAAGCACACCGACTTCGAAAATATTTGATTAGGTATTATAGTAAATGAAAACTACCAATCAGTTATTTTTTACTTTTTAGTGCTTTTGTTTTGCGTTTGAAATTTTGAATATATGCCCGAATTTATTTATTATTAACATCTTAATACTTTATATTAGTAATTTGTACTACACTTTGTTTCTGTTTTGTTAGTTTTGGTAAAATATCAGAACCTAATTTCTTAATCCACCCTTTCTAGAGTGGTTACTTCGAGACATAATATGTATACCTAGCCACCCACCTATGGCTAAAATTAATTAAAAAATGCAAAATTACTTGAAACATTGTCACGAATAAAGTTAACTTTTACCTAATAAGGAAACACTATAGCACTAGTTCAATTACAATTTACAAGTCAAAACAGGACAAAATATAAACAGGAAGTCAATTTTGATCACGAAAATTTAAACACAATTAATGTCATGCATTATTCAAATAAAGGCATTGCTATTAGCAAACAATGATAATGATCGGGGGAAAATTGTCGGGTTCGCGAAGCGTAAACGCTTTCGTTTTCGTAGGACAAAGAGTCACGTAGCTTTACACCCCAGGCACGGATCGAGACGTTCAACGTTCTATTAGCTCAGTCGCTACTTGGACACCTATCACTGTCCACGCCTTTGGAAAATGTAAGAGCGCGTTTACTGCATCAGTGATCATGTATATCAAGTTTATCTTGGTGGCTCTCGTTATATTTGCTGTAGTTCAGGATGCAAATGGGAAGAAATCAAAGAAGAAGCGTATCAATAATGACGCCGTTGAATCTACACCACAACCAAATGTACTCACATATTCGACTTTTGGTTTCAATGATGCTGGACCTTATGATGGATTTGTTCCTAGTTCACCGGATTATGCCAATTACCTCACTAAGTCCCAAGAATCTTCAACGCGCTTGTACGCGCCGGCGTTTCCTTCAGCTTTAGATACAACAGGTTTGGGCAGCTACTACGACCCGCAGCCTGAAATGGGATCATTTACTATAAACAGCGGTATGAATGGAAATGAGAATCTGAATCAGGGAGTATCGATAAATTTTTTTACATCTCCAAATCACGACCTAAATAATAGTGAGGGCAAAGAAGTAAATAATCGGAATATTGATGATGTAAATTCACCAAAATATGGAACTAAACTGAATTCAAAAAGTAAGAACAAACATTTTAATAACAATAATAATACGGAATATAATATATTCGGTAGTGTTTCTTCTGTTATAAATGGAGATAATGCAGTATACAATAAAAATGCATATAACAATTACCCGAGTTTGCCTTCTGCGCCTACATCTGTTGAAAACAATAAGATTGTAACGATGTCGTCCCATTCAAATCCCTCTTCATTAAAATTCTCAAAATTCGTGGATTTTACCGATGCTAAGAATTACTATCCGACAAGTGTGGAGAGCAAATATCAAGAGTCAATGCATAAACCGATTGTTATTGAACCGATTCAAAATAGTGAAGGCAATGTTAATTTTCATTCTTTTCAAGATAATGAACGCAAAATAGAGCAATCTTATAAAAATAAACTAAATAGTGAACAAGTGAAGCAAGATAAAGAAAAAAACTCTTTTACAAATGAAGATGTGTCTAATAGCTACGCAAAACAAAAAAACAATTACAAAATTAACAGATTTAAGAGTGATTTCAAAGATAAAACTAAACCATGGCATGCAAATTATAATAACGAGAATAATGGGATGCGAAATCCAATGAAAGGGTACGAGTATGCGACCAATTACAGTGCTACTAGTTTTAAGTTTGATTACGAAGAGCCAAAAAAAACAGTAATAGCAGCATTTAATAGCAGCATTGATGAAATTTCCCCTTCAAGCAGCAATCTAGATTTTGTCAACTATCAATCACCTGAAAAAGAATTTTCTAATTTTAAAAATATACATAACATTAATTCTTTTGGTTTTGATAACCAAGACACTTTTTCCGGTAATTATCGTGACAAGTATAAACCTTCTGAGGACTACTTGAATTCCTTTAAAAATTTATATTCTTCGATTCCTAGTACAACTTCTCATTGGGGTAATATTTTCAAGAACGCTGAGTACTCTTCTTATAAAAAGCATCCTAGTAAACCTTATTTTGAGGATGAAAGCACAGATGATATCGTACATATACCAAAAAGACCACAAAAATATAAGCACGGAAGATATACCGATATTAAATTGGATGATTTGTTACTTTCAAATGCCTACAAACCTCACAAGATTAATGATAATAAGCAAGAGTACGACTGGCCAAAAGATTTCTTTAACACTAGATTTAAATCAGAAGAGGATTTATTAGGTCTCCGAAATCACGATACTTCGCATCCATATCACTCAGCTCTCAAACCTAGTTACAATGATTTCGCGGAAGAAATTGATTACAAAAAGCTAACACAGAAATGGAAACAAAATTACTTGAGATCTAAATATAGGGATGCCAATCGAGAATACGAAAGTTATGCATCCGAGACTAAGCCGATACACGTGCCACTTCCAAAGCCATACCCGGTAAGTTCTTAAACGTTTTGTTGGTATGCTAGATTTACTGTGTGCACTGGTTTGGAATCTTTCAATTGTCTGATCATCATTTATGTAATTAATCAATAAAAAAGATAGACTGGAATGCGGATCGTGTGTGTAAAATTCTCGCGTCGCGCACTATTTTCTTCATCAGCTCGCGGTTAGTAAGATGACTCGCTTATGTGACTATACGTTTTGTAGGTGAAAATTGGAAATTGAACACCTTGTTCTAGATTTGTTAGCATATTACATTTCTTACAATGTAGTTTCAACTTTTATTTATATTATGATTTATATAAAATGCTAGTTTACTGCACTAAATCCATACTTTTATACTAACATTATAAATGTGAGAGTGAAGGCAGATTTTTAAAGAAATTTGGCTATGGGGCTCTGATGTATCAGTTTATTTTGGAAAAAGGGTCTCTTACCCAAAAAAGTTTGGGAATCCCTGAGCTAGATTTAAAAAGTTTATATTTCGATAATTAAGAATTAGGAATTCGATATGTTCTCGTTATCTAACAAAAGATATTTTTATTGTTTATTTTGAGGTTTTTTACAATATGCGATTGATTTCTAGAATAGTCCGGGCAGGTTCTTAGTGCACGTAAGCCGTAGATATGATTTAAATTACCTTTTCACAATATATAAAAAACCACTTTTCATACCAGTAGTGAATACTGTTACTTTAGTAGTAAAAATCAAAATTGAGTCAGTACTTTCAAAGTTTGACTATCTATATATAAACTTACCTATCTAAACTCGCTACTTACTCCTTTAGAATATCAATGATATGATAAACAAACAACAAAGTAAAACTATTTCATAGGAAAAAATAGAGTGCTGGTTAGCTGGTTCTAGTAATAATTAATAGATGGTAACAAATAGTAGAGAAGCTGTTGATAGACGTATGTATCATTTGTTATTATAAGTACGGGGTCTCGGAGAGAAACTTAAAAAACGAAATAATCTTTCAAATACATAAACTTTTTTAAGGAAAGCATATAAATGAATCACGATTAATATATTTGTTACTGCGTAGGTACATACGAGTGCGTGTCAAGGAATATTCATAGTAGAAGTCATATAAAACAATTTACGTATCATTAAGTTATATCTATTCAATTGACTCCTCACTTATTAAAGCATGTATTTACTTTACACTTATGCACATTCAATATAGTAGATTAGTGTTGGTATAATGATGCTTTTGGTTCTGTTGCGCACTTAGTTTTCCTTTCTTATAATCAATTTCAGATAGAAGTTCCACATCCGGTAATTGTTCCGGTACCGCAGCCTTATCCGGTTAAGGTTCCGATACCAAAACCGGTCGCAGTACCGGTTATCCGGGAGTTAAAAGTGCCGGTCGAAAAGCCGATGCCGTATCCGGTCATCAAAAAGGTTCCTTATCCCATAGAGAAGCCCGTTCCTGTACCTGTTGAGAAACAGGTGCGTTAAATTTAGTTAGCTTATCCTACAACGATAACCATTGAGTGAAAATTAGAAAATAACATGAATTCACTGTATTTTATAAATTATGTTGTATATAATATAAATATTAGCTAAAATCATATTATATCAATAGTTACAACGGTTTTTTTATTTAAATAATGAAGAAAATATATAAGATTGATTAGAACGATGTTTTTAATACATAAATAATTATGATACGAAGTAGGTAATTACTTACTCATTTTTCATGATATTATACATACTAGCATTTCCCGCGGCTCCGCCCGCGTTCAGATGACCAAAAACAAAATTCTTAGGTTTTACATATTAGCATACTCTTACAATGTAGTTATTGTATTTTTTCTCAGAAATGAGATATTTTCCCGCGGTAAAAAATATCCTATATGTTGATCCGGATAACCAGCTATCATCATACCAAATTTCATCAAAATCTGTCCAGTGGTTTTCTCGTGATGCGGTAACAGACAGACAGACATACAGACAAAAATTCTAAAAACTATAGATACGGCCTTTGTATCGATAATAATGTTTATTTCAATAAGATTTTCTAAAAAATATCTAATGTACAGATTCGGCTTAGTTAGAATTTTATTATATGTATAGATTGATTAGATTGATGTATTTCATTCATAAATAATTATGATACGAAGTAGATAATTACTCATTTTTCATTATATTATATTATGTAAAAATTTACATGAAAACTATGTAAATTATTTTATGCACTAAGCACTGTAATTAAGATTTTGTGGCACATGTAGTTAGTGTTATCACATTAGATATGCTGTACAAAATGATGGCATACTTGCATGCGATATTGCATACTATTACGAGTATATATTATTATCTGCTTATAAATTTTAAAGTAAAATAGTACAATTTATCTATTCCAGTAACTACCTATTCGATGAAATGGAAAGTAAGGTAGAGTCATATTAGAAATCGAAGTTGGAAACACAAATTAAATAATTTATGAGCAACACTCGATTGTTAGTTACATAGATAAAGTGGTCTGTTAGTTTTATCTAGTGAAATCTCATTATATTTATTTGCAGGTTCACGTGCCAGTAATAAAACCGTATCCAGTGCATATTCCACAAATAAGGCCAGTTTTCCACCATACAAAACCGCATGATGATCAAGAGTCAGATTTCGATGAAGATGAGTATATTGCCCGACCAGATACTAAGAAAGGAGTATACAAACGACCAAAAAAGTAAATGAAATAGTTTTTTTTTTATTTTGTGACATTATCATTTTTATATTATGATAGTAGTAAAATTCACGTTGATCGACCGCCCCTCTGTTTACAATAATCTTTTTGTACAGAGCATGGCTAAAAATTTAGCGAAAATTTTGTAAAAAAAAATCGGACAGATTCTATATAATACGTATATATACATTATAATTCTTTATAATACTATTGATTGTGCCAATATCTTCTTTGTTTTTATTGATATGGAAAAGTAACTTGCGCTCAATTAGTTCTAAAAGCACTACAAAGATTTGAACTATTTTTCTTTGGCGAGTTTAAAGTTAAATTAAAATTCTTAATGTAAAAAATATCCTTTATTTTTTATAATATATTATCTTTTTATTATTATATTTTTCGATTTTTTTAGTTCAAATAATAGGCCTCGCCCTTCTTCGAGAAGACCTTCGCGTATGACATATCAAGATCGTAATAGAAAACGCGTTCCAAGCAAGAGACCTGGATACGACCAAAGGCCTCGGAGACCTTATCATTCAGAGCATCGACCACAAAAGTACCGTGACTTCGAAGAATACGACAGTGATACTGAGTTTGATAACTATTGCAAGAGAAGTGGTAGATGTTAAATATTAATGCAGAGAACTTTGTTTTGAATTTATCATTAGCATGTAAGAACGATGCATTTTCTTATAGTATTGTAATATGTAGATAATTTAATTAGTTCAGTAAGTAGTTTAGTTTTTATATGTGCTTACTATTTTTGTGTTACTCTTAATTGGTGATTAGAAATTGTGCCAAATATTTTTCTCTTACAACGTATTGTCTGTGTGAGTGACGTGAGTACTGCACGCAATAGAAATGTTACACATCGAATTCTATGAAGAGATTTCGTTGCATTTTAACGTTGTAATGTGAATATTTTATTAATTGTATTTATATGACATCTTCTGTTTGAATAAATATACACATAAATAATATAATTTATATATACATAATAAATTAATTACTGTTGTTACATTTTATATAAATTAAAAATCATAATACGCTTAAATTTTCTTAATAACCTTGTTGTTTATTTAATATTAAATTAGGAATAAATTATTATTTATATTATTATGATATGGTTGTAAATAAAATATTGTTTTTTATACTATACTAAAATTATTTATTTCGTTTTCATAGATTCTCATCAAAATATTTACATAAATGCAAAACTTTTTTAAAAGCTCAAACTTCTAATCTTATTAGGTCTATTATGTGAAGTATTTATTTTTAGTTCTTGCTTAACATTTATGCTATATACGTGGGTTATAAGATAATATATTAATAATTATGTTATAATGTTTATCCGGGATCTTATCTTTTCAACAAACTCATTGTTATTGGCTCCGTACACGCATCGAGATCAACGCACGGTCTCGCTTCGACGCGCGCTTTTACTAACGCTCTGCTAAACAAGTCTCATTCCACGCTGTTCACTGATAATATATTATTACAGATATTAGAGTAGAAACAATGTGTATGAATGGTGTATTATAATAGGTTAAATTGCGACAAAAATTATCACCAACTAACTAAACTTTTGTATACAACAAACTATACTGAAAATGTAGGCTTCATTGAAAAAATTTAGTAGCGTAGACACATCATCAATCTCTATATAAGTGGACGTGGATGACGAAATTATTAAATATATTTATATTAATACCACAAAATATTAAAAAGAACAGATTTAATCAATAATTAATCAATCGTAAAGGAATTATTAAATAAAACTATCTTTTCGGATTATTTCGCGGATTTATTTTGATTTTTGGTTCCCGACGTTTCGAATGCTTTACAGCATCCATGGTCACGGGAGAGACTGAGGTGTTACATGTCTTAAAGATATAGTTGTTACAGACAGCCTACCCACAATTAACATTATATAACACAATTATATAACACAATTGTTAATTGTGGGTAGGCTGTCTGTAACAACTATATCTTTAAGACATGTAACACCTCAGTCTCTCCCGTGACCATGGATGCTGTAAAGCATTCGAAACGTCGGGAACCAAAAATCAAAATAAATCCGCGAAATAATCCGAAAAGATAGTTTTATTTAATAATGTCAAACATTCGCGTAAATCTAAGAAAGTATTATAATCGTAAAGGAAATCGACATTGTTATTTAAAAAAAAACGCATCCTCATGCATCCATCATGTAGTATTACTAGCTGTTAATTTGTATCGCTCATTAAAATCTGAGTTTTTTTCGGCAGTTCTTCTCAGGACTGAGGCACGTTTCTGAACTGCCTTTTTGATAAACAAAAATTGTATTTTTGAATGAAAGTGCGAAATAACAGAAAATCGATATTGTATGCCTAATCAGATATTTTAAAGCCAGTGCCAGCAGCCACCCAGTATGTATTTGGAATTTCGCTTCTAATCATGCCTATTAATATTTAAAATAATATTTATATTAATGAAATATTTTTTCACCTTTGTACCATTTTTAACCGACGAAAAAAAGGAGGAGGTTCTCTATTGGACACGTATATTTTTTATGTTTGACCACGCATAACTTTTTTAAGTGCACCTAGTCCGATTTCGATGATTCTTTTTTATTGGACCCTCAAAGTTGGTTCCATTTAAATTTGAAAAATCCACCTCTTACCTCTAAGTGTAGAAAATATGGGATGATTGATTTTTCACCTACTGATTTTTTTCAGAAAATACTTTTTTCTTACTATGCTAGTAGTTACTACTATGTGTATACTAAAAATGGAAAAATAAACTTAAAATAATTAGAGCCGACTTCAAAAAAAACACTAAAAAGTAAAGAAAAGCGCATGGGTAGTTTTAATTTACTATAGAATTATATAGATACCTAAACAGATATTTTCAAACTCGGTGTAGGTACTTTGATTTGTATCGGATGGCACAGACTTCGGATATATCTGATTAGGTATCTATAGTAAATGAAAACTATCCAATAGTTTTTTTTACTTTGTAGCGTTTTTTTTGAAGTCAGTTTTTGTTCTTTTTTTTTAGTTTTTATTTATAAAAATCTCAACTTTCGCTTCACATAAAAAAAACTAATCTTAACTGAAAATAAAACGTTTTAATAACCTAGAAGCAATATAATTTCAAAAAAGGTTTTGAAAGATTTTTCATAACACGATTTTCTATGTCAACTCTTTATTAGTCAGGAGCACTATAAACACAGCTGATACGAGTATTTATGACAAGTTGTAAAAAAATTCGAGCAAGTACAGAAAATAGACACTATTAGCTATTTAAGAATATTCTTTAACTAGTCTACTCATAAGAATAAATAAATTAAAAATAAATTAGAATAGCTGTAGTTTATTAATGGCTCTAAAGGTAAATATAAGTAGATAAATATTATGTATAGTTTTATTTCTTTAAAGTTATAAATATCACTACATAGTATGAAACAAAGTTGCTTCCCGCTGTCTGTCTGTCCCTATGTATGCTTAGCTGTTTAAAACTACGCAACGGATTTTGATGCGGTTTTTTTAATAGATAGACTGATTCAAGAGAAAGGTTTATATATATAATACATGCATATTATATAGTACAGAATAACCGACAAATTCTATTTCATACTAACCGTTAAAACGTATCTAATGTAATAGTTATTCTGTACTTTAAAGTTTCCATCATGTTTAAGTTGTAAGTTATTTTCTTATAAATACATTTTCTATTAGGTATATTTTCTAAAGATCTTTAACTTTTAATTCGAGCCAAGTAATAAATAAAAGTACTTGCTTATAATCTTTTATTAATTTTCGTGTTACTCAATCTTGTAAACCACAGAGTAATTTAAATTATATTAACAATTATACGAAGGCTTTCAGTAAAACTTAACTTCTGAATTAGCAATCAACTCGTTCTAAGCTTTGCTAGACCCACTTTAGACAGGCGCGTGCGAAATTAGACGCCTGTGTTGAAAAATTAACAGTAATTTAGTAATATTAATCAGTGCTCAGGTCAGGGTTGGTGGTTGTTCGTCACGAGTTCAACTCTAGATTTAGTTATTCTCTAGATGGGGTTACCTTTCCCGTAAGCAAGGTCTTGATAAAATAACTACAGAAGTGTAAATTGTATATCGGAATAAAATATATGTAGTACATGATAATAATTATAAATAACAGCACAATCTTATATTAAGGTTGTGCTAATAAACGTATAATTATTGAAAGCTATTAATGTACAGCTATAAATAGATATTGATTTATAATTTAAATATTTTAATATTTATTGACTTTTTAAATATTCAAAAATAGTAATTTGTTTTTAAATTTAAATATAAATAATGACTGGTTCTGAAATTATCTATATACAAAATAACTTCGGAAGTAAAACATGTTGTATTTACTCTTATTACATGTTTCTGTGTTTCAAAATTCAAAGGTATGATTAGATAGCATATGTGATATTCCGGGATAAAAGCTTCTACATTTGACTTTAAAATCTGTTCAGTTGTTACAGCTTCGCGTCAAAAAGTAATAAACAAACACATTTACTCATAAACATTCATAACAAAGGTGCGATTGGTCTATGAAAGTTATCATAAAATTATAATATAAGCAAAAGGAAGGATAAACAAAGTTAATTGTTAAGTTATATATATGTATGTATAAGAGGTGCGCTACAATTTCTTACTGTAAGATCCTAAGAGAAGGTGTGATTCTATTGTAATAGTAATGTCCTTTTGGTCAATTTCGGTCACGACAGCTATCTCATTAAAACTAACCATCTGCGCCTTTTATTTTATCACATTAGCGCAGGCGCATACTCAAGTGCACTCTTTAGTCCTTTCACTCTCAATGTCAGATGGGACGACGATTCGATCCGACCGGTAACTGGATCGACGGCTTTATGTGCTCTTCAAGTCACGTGGGTGTAACACCACCAATTTCTCAACTACTTGCGGTTATTGAGATTATCTTGACAGTAAAACGCAATTATTATATATGGCAAGATTTGGAACTCGAACCCAGGATCGCCGGATCTACAGCTCTACATGCTAGCCACTAAATGACTAAACTAACGACGTTACATACTCGTATATCTAGTTTAGCAATGAACTTTTGTAGAAGTGCAGCAATCAAGATGTTAATAAGGTGTGCCCGTTCTAAATCGATAACAGCCATTTTACGCAATCACTTAGACGAGCTTACTGTTTACTGCTTGTGCTATATACCTACGAGTATGTTACGATTTGACTTTTTATGTTGTGTGGTTACATACCTCATATATTAAGATTTCTTACCAATTTTATGTACAGTTAGAAGGTGGATTTAACTATTGTCCAATATTTTTACATATATAGGATATACATAGCTGTTAAGGCACCAACTTAGTATAAAACTAAATAGATAAATATAAAAAATATATATATTATATATCAATAAAAAAATTAAAACAACAACATCAATGTAAGCGCGGTTAAACTTAAATTGTTTTTTTAATTTATTCTATCGGTAATTGAGATCAATAGTCTCGAAGATACAGGTAATCTTGTGCAAGAAAAGAGTAATTGGTTGAGTCGACCGCGCCGTTATGTATATACCTAAGATAAATTGCCAAAAATAACTGTAAGGTTTGGGAT